AAAAAATAGATATATTTACCTGCAATCAGAACAGCACTCACTCCACAGTCTTAAATCCACTTTCGGAACATCCTCACATCTTCCGATGCCTTCCTGCAATTCAGGTAATACAAAAACGTCCTTTGTGATTTTGGTGATATTATCTCCGTTATCACACAGTACTCGAGACAAGGAGTACTGCTTGATTTGTACCAACTGTTCTGGCTTAAACACTGAAGGATTCTCGTACCTAGAGAAAGAAAAATGTTGTATTGGTATTATGAAAACAATTTTATTTATTGTTTAGTTAGTTTTAAATTTATATGACTATATATTTTATGGCTTATCTGAAGCTCAAAAAAAACTAGTATCCTGATTACTACTAATAAAAAATAAAATAGCTAAAAACAAAATGATTGGGTCCAATACAGTAATAATAAAAACAGATTAAAGTATCAATTTTATACTGCCAATGGATCAAACTTGAATTGAACTGTGATAAACTTACCAAAACCTGTCACCGTCTCTCAGTTTCTTAAACTGCTCCACAAGGAGACATCTAAACAAGGGTCCGACCCTGCCTCCTTCTACTGGGTCCTCCAAAATTCCTCCAACGAAGACGTCGATATTTTCAGGGTGACCGTACAGCTTCTCCATCTTTTCTCTGACTTCGTCGTCTGATATTTCGGAGGCTAGATCATCGAAGCTTGTCACTTTACGCATTCCGCAAAAATTGCGGAAAGCTACGTATCCTGGTAAGGCATGATCTCGAGACCTAAAGACGCCAACAAAATAGAAAAAATAAAATACATATCATTATACACAGCTATAAGAATTATTTTTAAATATTTTGAATTCAATCAATTCAAAATTACGTTACTTTAGAAAAAATTAACGAGTGGAAGCAAAATGATAATAAAATTCGTATAAAATGGGTGGAGGTTTTCCATAATTTTTCTCTGCTTTAATATACAAAAGATTATTGCATTTTTTTTTTCTCTAGGTGAAATTCTATAGGTACATCCCTAGATTCCTAGATTATGGTAGATCTGAGTCAAGACACACAAAATATTAATTTATGATAAAGCAATACATAGAACATAGTTTTACGCGGATAAAAAAACGGTCAAAATTTAGTCAAAAGTAAAAATTTCTCAGAAACTTAATATAAACTATTCCCATATGTTTCCAGTTATCTTATTGAATACTCTGTATACTATCGATCTAATATACTACTACTATACTTATATGTGTATGATACTTATATGTATGTAGTAAATTACTCATCTGTACTACTCTCACTACTATCTACCTGTGTATATTCATTGCAGCTAAATCCAAAGCAACCGCATGGGCAGTATTAAATAACTTTTCGGTTAGTTCGGTATTTAAGTTTTCCCTAGGCATTTTCTTCTTAGCAGCCGTAACAAACATGCCCCTGAGTAAAGGATCAATGCCTCCTTCTTCAACCAATCTCCAAGGAGAGAAGAATGCTTTGTGAAGCGGAAGATGTCCTTCTCTGATAGGATTAAAACTCGAGTCGTACCTAAAATGTTAATAAGCATTTAATCGAACCTTATTAAGTAACGTTTATTACTTTAGTTATAATATGTACAGCGAAAGAATAATATATTATGTCATTTAAAGAACATTATTATTATGATTGCAAGTCAAAGTAGAATGAGAATATATCGCCACCTCAAAACTACAACTAGATAACTCGAAAATTGGCTGTTTGTAGTTAACTCTACCAACCTTTGTTATTTTGGAATATCTTTCTACTTGCAACAACTATATAACTTAAAAGTCCCGCCATGCGCCATCCCCTTTATATTTGAAGTGTCAAACGTAGATATTTTCCCAATAAATTTGCAGGATATTACAAGAACTAGACAGCTCAAGTTGTCAAAACTATGATTTTAGAGATATCTAGTTGTAGTTTTGAGGAGTGTTATATACTTTTGCTGTACAAACTACAAATTATCATATACTAAATATACCTACCTGTGTAAAATTGGGTTAATAAGAGTATGTCCAAATCTCAAAGCTGCCGTAGCAAACACATTAGATATGCTCGGGTTGATCAGGGGATCATATTCTTTATATTCGCCCAGCAGTTCCATACCTTTCGGTCCAACAACAAAAGGCAACCAATGTTTGTAAGTTATATGCTGAATGGCAGCTCCTACAATTTTTCTAGCTTCGTAGAATAGCATATCTCCGTCCCAGTGAGGGTTTAAATATCTAGAGAAACAGTAAAAAGATAAATAAGAATATTTATTTCCAGCTACGTAAATTTTTTTGTTATTAGGCAAGCTGCTTATGCTGCTTATCAATTATGCTTATTTTTTTCGTAAATTCGGCAATAGTTTTTCCATTTGTATTGTATGGCACACCCTGTACATAAAGTTGTACAGTGTTTGCAAAAAGTCGGCTTCATATAGGATTGTATTTTATTACCTATATTTATTACTAAAGACCACGCTAAAGAGAGATAAAAATTTGACACCAAAAGTTAAGTCGTGTAAAGGATACATATGAAAGAGACTGTGTGATTATAAAAACTAAAACAAACCTTAATTCTTTGGCCAATCTATTGTGTTCTCTCATCCACAAGGTGTGCATAGCAGTGAGTCCGTTTTGTTCATTGACTCTAATATCACCAGCCAGGAAACAGTTAACGTCACTCTCTGATAAGTTTCTTCTACAATCCATTCCTTTGTCCTCCTGCATAAGGTAGTAAAGGCTTTCTTCCCTCGAACACTGGACCTTCCTTTAGACGGCCTAAGGGTGCGTCTATGTCCCGGATTTCACGCGCTAGTTCATCAGAAAACCATATATCTACCAGCAAAAAAATACATGGCAGTGCTATCATAAATCAAAACAGGATAAATTCGTTCCTGGAATATTTAATAAAAAACTAAATTATGGAAAATAGAATTAAAATATACTATTGCAACCCCTATATACAGGGTGAGTCTTAAATATGTGCAAATATTTTCAGGGCCAGTAGATCTGGATAAAAGAAACGTATTTTTCTCTTTACCGTTTTTCGGGTTATTTTACTTTGAAACTTTAAGAAATACAGGGTGGCGCACCTCATTTGCCTCGGTTGAGTATACGAAAACGGAAAGATGTAAAACAATTTTTATGGGTATATCTAAAGAGGCAATATGCCATAATTTGCCAAGGTGACACCAGCCACATTGATTACAATTTTATTGAAAAATCGCTTTTTATTCAAAATCTGAGCCAGATAGGTATAGGAAACCCTAATATAGTTTGAAAGAGCATTTAAATCTGCTTCGATTTATTTAAAAAAATGGAGGGTGTTGTATTTGAAATAGCGAAGTTTTTATTTAAAATAAATATTTAAAATAGACCAGCAATTTTTGATACCCCTGTATACATTTAAGGAAGCAATGAAATTTTTTAGTAAAGTTTATTTCTCCGGCTTGAAAGTCAGCACAAGAATTAATTCTGAAAAGAAATGTACAAGGTGTTGACAAACTTTTTTATTATAGCATGCATATTTAAATATCTTTAAATATCTCAAAAACCAAAACTTTTAAACATATTTAACCCTTATAATAAATGCTTTATTTTACGTCCAAGAATCTAAAAAACAATATAACTTTGTATGGATCTTAGATCTGACCATAGATAAAAGAAAATAATCTTCTATTAAGATAGATATGAAACTTGTATAGTAAAAAATTTTTGTAAGTTATGCACATTGCCTTTAGTAGAGACTATGTTTAACCCAGCGCCTCTGCCTTTTCTGCTGTAAATATTTTTATGTTTATATTTGATTTCAAGGATTTGTTTTAAAGTTACACTGATATATTAGTATATCAGAGTAACTTTAATAAAACATAAGAATATATACTGATACCGTTGTTTCACTATAAAACTAAAAAATATCAAAAAAATTCCAAATTTTCCATTTTTTTTGCTAAAAACTCATAAATGTGTTTCTGAGGTCGAAATATACTGCCCCTAAAATATTTGAACAATAAATAAATCTATCTATCTATCTATCTATATATTTTAGAGTTTATTAAATATAAATTTTGACTACAAAGTAGAAAGTAAATCACAATATTTTATAAAAATTGGTACCCTAGGCATTTTTTTTTGTGAATAAATAATAAAATTTCAGTACTATGATATTTAAAATTTAGATAGATAGAATATTAAAAACATACCGGTAATGGCAGACGCTGGCCCAAATTCAATAAAAGTAAATTTTTCCTGCGAAACATCGGGCTTTTTGTCACAGAAAAGGCATTTTTGCTTGGCAGTAAAATGTCAAGTTGACAATATACAGGGTGTTTTTTAAAGAAAATATATTTTTTTTGACTGGCCATCCTTTTCAACAAAATTTATCTTTTGAGTTTTTCTTGTTCATCAAACGGTTGCCGAGAAAAAATAAATATACTTATTAAGAGCCCGCCTTAAGCCGTTTTCTAAAGTTTTATTTTTAGATTAATTAGAAACACCCTGTATATGCATATCATAAAGTTCCAAATAAACTAGTAACCTAAAAAGGGTTTTTCCTACCACTAGAGACACCGAATTTTTAGTGAGTACTAAATTATTTTATCCAAATTGTAACCATATAAGTTTCCAGGCAATGGATCTGACAGATCCTGTACATTTAAAAAATATTTTACAAGATGCATATTGCCTCCCACATAAACCTATAAATTTTGTTTCTACATCTTTACGTTTTAAATCAAACAGGCTGAATGAGGTACGCCATATTGTATATATGAGTTCTAAATTTTGAGAACCACTGGGTTTTCTTTCTTGTATATTTAAACTATTACTTATGTTGACATATTATGAAGAAATTATGTTGTTTCACTATAAAACTGAAAAAAATATCAAAAAAATTCCAAATTTTCCATTTTTTTGCTAAAAAAAACTCATAAATGTGTTTCTGAGGTCGAAATATACTGCCCCTAAAATATTTGCACATATTTAAGACTCACCCTGTACAAATGTCAAAAGATCATATTTAAAGCGTTAAGATAAATTGGTACCCTAGGCATTTTTTTTGCCGCATCCTCTCACTAAAATTCCAGTAAATTTTTTTCAAGTGGTGTCTGACTGATGGAATTACAAGCACATTTTCTTGGCAGTCGCTGGCAGTCATTGGCATCAGTAGACTTTAATTACATGGCAGACATAGGCAGTCTTCGTCTCAGTCATTGGCAGTCGCTTGGCAGTAAAATGACATTTTGACAGTACATGAACATTTTTTACCTAATTGAGACACCTCTCAATTTTTTATACCTAATACAGGCAACAAATAGAATTGTTTTATTGAGTTTTAAAATTGTGATTTATGATATATGCGACAAGTGTCAATGATGGCAAATTCATAAAGTTCCGTTTACACCCTTACATATATTAAAAATTGTGTTAGGGGACCAAATATCGAAAAGAGACAAAGAGAAAAATTGTTTAGAGTATTATTGTAAGTAGTATACCCAAGTAATGTTTCATAAATATACATGGACGCTAAAAGGGTAGCATTTTATATATTTTTCGGCAATTTTTTCAAAAAATTACAATTTTTCGCTAAAACATAAACAAAGTAAATCCAAAACGAATTATTTCCAGCGTAATATTTTTTACTGTACTGGAAATAATCTTAAAAAAATAAAATGTCAATTTTTATGATGTCAAAGCTCTTGCAATGGAATGAATCGATAGCTGGAAAATAGATGTCTATGAAAAAGAAAAAGGGAACAGAAATATAGGAATCTACTTAAAATTGAATATTAATACCTCCGATTTGCACCTATTACAAGAATATATAGACAGACATTATTTAAAAAAAATAAACTTACCATTGAAGCATCAATATAAGAAGTAAGTTGGTTGATTTGTTCTCTGTGTTGAACTTCGTTGAAAAATATAGATGTCATTCCAGATCCGCAGATTGCGCTTGTTCTTACAAAATCTATACAACGCCTGCAATAGAAAATATATAATAGAGACCACATACATTCAGATAACATTAAATATATTTATAATCTGTCCAACAACAGAATACATGATTTTGATCGATAATTTCCAAAGCATAGTAGCAAAAAACACTATACTTATGACTTGAAAATGACAGAAAGCAACTGCCTACTCTTACCACTGTTAAATTTAACCCTAAATATTTTTGGACTGTGTGAGTACCAAAGACATTTGTAACTACCTGTTTTTTTTTGCTGGGCATAATATACATGCAGTGGTTTTCTTTTTAAATCTAATTGATTATTTTTTCTATACCTATTGGTGATTCTTGGATCATCTTCTGGTACATCCATTGGATAACAAGGAGCGGCATATTCGCAAGACTTCTTACAATCTATTCCATCCCAAGTTTCTGAACTGACACTAGGCAAAGCGTGGTCCAAATCGTGATCTAAGAACTGGCCCCACTGCATCACCATATGGGTTATTTCTTCGTCTTGGGTGATCTTTGACGTGGCAATCAAACTAGTAGATACCTAAACATTGTTTAAGAGCATTAACAACTAAGAAATGAAATCAATATAATCAATAAATTTCTCCTTCATACTCTATCTGTTTTGTACGAACCTTTCTAGATGCTGGTTTAGGATATCCATTGTAAAGTTTGTTCTTCTCCCATCCAACTGGTCTGGCAAATCCATCTTCGTAAATCGGTTTCAGTACTCTACGGAATCCTGTCAAACTAGCTCCCCAAGTGGGATGTTGGAGGTTGTTACAGGTACCGTCTATGCTGCGGTACTTCGAATGGAAACACATATCCGAACAATTTTTCGTGTGCCTGTGGGCGTTACAACCTTAAACAATACCAGACTCTTAGAATCACTGGATAATTTATACAGTATGTCCCCGGATTGTCTTTACAAGAAGAAAAACTTTTTTATAATTGACATTTTGAGAAAAATGCATTCTTCATAAAAATTTTTGCTTTTTCTAAAATGGTTAATCCCGTTTAAACTTTTCCAAATATCCATACAGTTTTACAGAGCTATCGAGAAAAACTATCAACAATAATCTATCAAAGAATGAAATAAACGAAATTATATTATCATAGAAAATGGAAACGCGTTTTGATTTTTAGGACTTAGAAAAAATTCAACTAATTTTCATGTTTTTTCTAATTTTCTCTAAAATGGTATGGAAATTTGGAAAAGTATAAAAGGGATTAACCATTTTAGAACAAGCAAACTTTTTTATGAAGGATACATTTTTCTCAAAATCTCAATAATAAAAAAGTTTTTCCTCTTGTAAAGACAATCCGGGGACATACTGTAGATTAGAATTGTTCATAGAAAGTCTAAGCACACTGAAATAGTAATGAGCATTACGATTCTTTTTGGTGAATCTAATCATACGATTCAATTTCTCATAATGAATCGACTCTCAGGATTCGTTCATTTGAACAAACTACAAACACATTTTGCATATGACAGTATAAAATAGATATTTTTTTGTAAATAGCTTTCATATCGTTTTCATTTTATATCCATGATGTTTGTTTAAGGCTTTATTTCGAGTCTATTGATACCCTACTACATAAATACTCATTCTTCATAATTATGAAGACGGCGTTAAATTATAGTATATTTTATTATTAATACATAAAATTGGTATAATAAAACATACCATTTGATTACTAAAAAATTGGCGCTGGGAGGCACGTAGAGCCGCCCATACTAAAAATATGTTAATATCTCGAAAACTGCCACTTTGACTGATTTTGATGTTATTACAAATTTTGTTGCAAATATTATTCCTAATCTTAATTTGAAAATCGCGTTTCGCTAACTACTGTAATTTTGGAGTTACGATTTTTTAAAATTTTTAACCCCCTCCCATACCCCCTTACCAACCCACCACTCCCATCAAAAACTAATGGCCAGATTTTCGGGTGCCTCAGTATTTTTGTGCCAAATTTGGTTAAAATCGGTTCAGCGGTTTTTGAGTGATCGTGTTATAGACGGACAGACAGACAGACACCATGAAAATATTTTGTATTTAGATCATTGTGAGTGAAATTAAAAAAACTTTTTTTTTGCCGATCTTAATAGCCTACCATACCTATTGGTATGGTCAGCTAAAAAATAATAACTGATCTATATTTATATCATTGCAATTACCTATATTACAAACGTTTGAGTACTCATAATATTGTACCCAAGCTCATAGTTCACGTGCGCATATGCATTTATTGTGTGAAACCGTAGCTCCCACAATGACTCAATTTCACATTTCCATCTACCAAAGTAACCCATTAAAAATAACTCACCTGATAATCTAGCGATCAAATCCAGTTTCTCCTGAGACAGTATCTCCTTATAACTGAAATCTGTAGTATGCGTCATGTTAACACTGCCTTTCTGAATATGTTTCCTGATATTCACCAGAGTTCTTTCATAAACCTCTGCAGCCCTGGCTAATTCCCTAGCTGGTGCATTGGGATACCGGATAATCCTGAACAACTCCGACGAAGAAGGATGTTTGTTGTGCAAGAAATTATCGATGGTGTTGTTGATGGCCTTGTCAATCTCGCTCGAAGCTTCGGTGAAGGCGATCTTGATGAACCTGTCACTGATACTGCCCACCGCGCCTGTTGAAACTGTAGGGTCTTTGACGGTGATGTAGCCTGAAGCTGAGTCCCTGCCATGGTCGTTGTTGGCTATGCATTCGTATCGACCTTGGTCTTCAGCAGCAACCTGAAATATCTTTTCGTTTTCAAGATAAAAAATAAAAACATTATTTTTCCGCCATCTTTGTACCGCGATATCTCCCTAATGGTTGACTTTTGACCCAACGTTTATAAAGCAAACTACCCTTTATTTTGAACAAGGAATCACCCCCTAAAGTTTTTCGCATTTGTTTTGAAACACCCTATATACTTAGCTGGACAAGTAGATAGATACATGCAACTTTGTCCATATATCTTCTTGTCTTGTCTAGCTAGAAACAGAATATTTTAAATTTTCAGCAAAACTGCTGGACATGAATCCTTGGACACATAATATTACCATCATTATACAGGTTGGTCCGAACTGTATTCCGGAAACTTCGGCAGCATATTCTGCAAATTAAAATATGTAAAAAAGTTCGTATAAATATATGCCCTAAAATTCTTAGTTTCGGAAATACAGGGTGTAGAATTTTCATTTTTATTTCGATTTTGTCCAAATAATTTCTCAAGCTACATCAATATTTGGAGGAAACTTGGTGTCTGGGAGTTTTTTGACATGAAAAATTTGATTTTGATGTCAATATGACTCCTACTTGCATATTTGTTTAATTGGTTTGAAGAGTAGTAAATTTTCGTCCGTACATGTAGCGTATGTTCGAAAGAAAATGGCGTCCAGTTGGCTGGAAAATGACGATCGATGCCATTTCCCATATAAATTTACATATAAAATGACAGCGATCTTCATTTCATGGCCATCGCTGACGCCGTTTTTATTCGATCATACGGTATAAAACTACTGAGTAAAGGAATATATATTTACGGCATTTTCTACGTAAAAAAAGGTCTCTTAGTAAAAATCACTACAACTAATGGTTCTCGAGATATTTGGAATCGAAATGATCAACACCCTGTCATTATTGACATAAATTAAACATGTTAACTAAATAGTTTTTTTTTTTTTTTTAAAAACATAAATTTGAAATGTTTGTTTGTGCCAAAACTTCAACAGAAACAGTTTATCATAATTTTTTCGAAGGAAAAATTTTGATTATTGAAAAAATTAAAAATTCCAAAATTTATTATTTCGGTCAAATAACTATATACTCAACGCATGTTTATTTTTGTCAATAATGACATATATTGACTATTTCCATTCTTTCCAAATATCTTAGGAACGGTTGCTCATAGGTTTTACCAAAGTTATTTTTCCATAAAAAATCACGGAAATGTATATTTTCACTCAGCAGTTTTACACAGGTATGGATGAAAAGTTATTATACTTCAAAACAGTTAAGACTTTATGCTTAAGTGGCGCCTCCTACAAATAAGTCATATTGACATCAAAATCAAAATTCTCATGTTAAAAACTCCCAACACCAATTTTCATCCAAATATATGAGAAATTATTTGGAAAAAATCTAAATGAAAATGAAACTTCTACACCCTGTATATCTTAAACTAAGCATTTTTGGACTGTAGAATATGCTGCCAAAGTTTCCGGAATGCAGTTCGGACCACCCTGTGTATAACCACATATATTAAAAGCAAGGTTGAATGAAATGAGGATGAAATATAATAATTGTGAAACTCAATCACATTAGACAGTTGAGGCTGCACTGTAGAGTCTCAATCACGAAATTAAAATACAAACCTGAAAAAATCCGCCCCCATATGACCTTAATATCGTATTAAAGAATTAGACACCGTAATGATTCATTCGAACTTCGAAAACAATCGAGTTCCACTGGAATGGAGGAGTACATACGAGAACATTCTAAACCTTCTCTATGCACCTAATGATCTAATGGACTTAACTGTTTAGCTGTGGGCATATAAGCCGCCGCCTGGGGCCTGAGGAGGACAGAAACAAATAGACGCGTGCAACTGTACGCGTCTATTTCAAAATTAATTCCTTCTAGATAAATAGTTATAAATAGTTTGTAAATAGTTCTTTGAGCATTTTATCGTTATTGTTTTGTTACTTAGTGTAAAATAAATTGTGTTTAGATAAATTAGACTTTCTATCGACCCGGAACCGATGAAAAACGTAACAATATATTGAAATTCACCTTATAAATATAGAGATTTCCTGTTAAGCTGATCTTATATCTCCCAGTTCTTTGCATACGAGCTCCGTCTTTCTGCCAAGTAATACCAGGATTGGGATCGCCCACTGCCTTGCAAGGTAGTTCAATAGTACTACCCACTAAAGCCTCGATATTGTACGGCTTATACACTAGCTTGGGTGGTTTGGTGTTAAAACCTGAAATCTATAACAGTTATGATGGATAAAGACATTTTTCAATTTGTGTAAATAGTGTTACCGTGATCCGGGCGCTGACTTCTCTGGTTCCTAGTGGATTTCTGGCTTCACAAATGTATAATCCAGAGTCAGATTCTATGGCATGTCTTAGTTCTAAACGACTTCTGTCGCCGTTGTAAAATACTCTCTCGTTGGGGAAGAACTTGAAAATGAAAACCAACTAAAATTAATTGCACAAAGCCGAAACATATTAATATTTTTCATTAATGATTCTTAAACATCATCTTTTTTGACATTGTGACTTGGGTTTTTTTTCTTACTTTCTGTTGTTGCTTGTTGTTATTGTTAAACGACGGTAGGTAGATAACTTTAGAGCAAAAACATTAACTTTTTATAAAATTACCTCCAAGTCATCTTTGAACCACGTGATTTCCGGGGTCGGAGTACCAGAAGCTGAACACTCCAGATTGATAGTACCACCTGTCAGTATTTCAGCATTCTCCGGTTGAATAGTAAATATTGGCGCCACTGTAATAAATAGAAAATTGTGCAACTTATACTAAACAATTTTTTTTCAATTAATTACCATTAATAAGTACATTGGCTTCAGCTGAAACTCTGCCATTGTAGTTGAAGGCTTCGCAGAGATAAGTACCATGATCTGAACCTTCGATGTTCCTAATCAGAAGAGTACCGCTGGGCAATATAACAGTTTTGGACGTTGAGGCTAGTTGACGTCCGTTATGGGACCAGATAATTTGAGGAACCGGATATCCTAACGCTTGGCATTCTAGTAGTACTTGTTGAGTACCAACGTTGACGCTGACGCTTTGGGGAACTTTAACAAGCTTTGGCATATCTAAGAATTCAAAATATAACAGAAAACACAATAAGAAGCTGCTAGCTTAAATGAATCAACACCAATGTTCCGAAGGATAGTACAGCACATTTTATTATTGCTGCACAGCTCCTTAATGATTGACAATGTAAAACATGTTTTAAAAGAGAGAGTCGTAATACTTTCTCACCATAATCAATAGTATAGTAGTTCATTGACTACTTAGTTTAATAGAATAGAAGTTCATAGACTAATTTTCTACTTAGCAACGAAATATATGAAATAGAGAAAAAAATACATAAGGAATGTAGCTGACTGTGATAGCTATGTTCTTTCATTTGTTGCTGAAATAAAGAACTGAACTACTAAAATAATAGGAAAATAATAAAAAACATGGCCCAAATTATAGGCAATTACTGGTGTTGAGCAAATGAAAGACGAAGTTCAAAACCCTTAATTATAGGGCCCAGTCTTTGTCTTGGTTTTGCTAAAAAACTCTTGGAATTATTGCATTTATTTCATAGATTTTTAACGAACGGTGTATGACTACTGTACGGTGTCTTACTACTGCAACTTGACTGCCCCACGTTGGGCGCCAAAAATTGCCGCACCTTGAAGTTTGTTTAACTGAGAGTGAGTTACACAAAGGTCGCTATATTCTTAGGTAAAAACTTCAACACTAACCTCGAACTTTTGAGTGTATCTACCTGAACTTCACAATATATTGCTATAGCGTGAAGTGGTGTTTCATTATGCTCACCATAATCAATTCCTTCCTCGTTTTGACTGGGATAAACAACCATCCTGGCCGGTCTGGACCGAACTTCGCCCTCTGGATTCTTAGCCAGACACTCATAAAATCCATTATCACTCTCCTCGGTAAACTGTATCATCAGCGTTCCATTCTCCATCATTTTGTACTTGTTATCATCGGGCAAAATCTCTTTTTCACCCTTCATCCAAACTATGGTCGGTTCTTCTTCACTTTGAACCGCACAAGTAAATGTTGCTATTCCACCTAAAGTGATTTCCACATCCTCAGGGCTTTGAACTATTTTTGGTGGTTCTGGAAAAGCAAATAACTTCAAATAAACTAAAATAGTTTCTTAGAATGTTACGCACGACAGTGAAAGTGTCTGTGGTCCATTCCGACGATACTTTTCCCGTACATTTCGTTTGGCTGAGAGCAACTGGCCGATGCTTGTAGCACTGACTTGTCGTTGGTCAGCATTTTGCTGAACCAGGCCATCTTACAGTCGCATATCAGGGCGTTGTGGTCTAAGCGTAACCGTTGGAGTTTGGGTAGATTGTGGAAGGCACCTCTTGGTATTTCTTTAATGTGGTTGTTGTATAAATAGCTAAAAAGAAAAATATATTCAATTCGAAAGAGTGATGAAATCAAGATGGGTCGTAAGGTTGGGCCTAAACTGTTACAGATTGTCATACAGCCAAAAGCAAATTTGTTTACAAGTAAAAGTTCACTGGCAAGCTGGTTCCCGTTTGGATTTCAAAAAACTGTGACATTTTAGGGACGAAATACCTGGACCTTTTGCAAGCACATAAAATTAAAAGTCCTATAAACAGATATTTTCAAATTAGAGCCATTATACAGGATTTTTAAAAAGAACCCATGTACTGAATAAAAAAAACTAAGAAATGATTCAAATAGTTATTATTTTCATATTTATACATTAAAAACAGAAGCAACGTCAATGAAACTCTTTTTTTGTCAGTTTTGTTTAACTTTTCACTCGGCACTTTTGAAATTACGTGCATTTGAATTACGCAAATTGTGCTTTTCTCTGTTTATTTTTAATTATCTCTTGGTTATTTTAGAATTTGTTTTTATGGAAAGTGTATAAATTTGACAATACAGAGATGGTCCGAACTGTATTCGGAAACTTTCTGAGAGAAAATAAATAAAAAAGTTCGTATAAATGTATGTCCTAAAATGCTTAGTTTCAGAGATACAGGGTGTAGAAGTTTTTTTTTATTTTCATTTAGATTTTTTCCAAATAATTTCTGAAGCCAACAATCCAAATTTGGATGAAAATTGGTAGCGATTTTTACCAAGACATTTTTTGTAAAAATCACGGAAATGTATATTTTTCACTCAATAGTTTTATTACAGGTACGGACGAAAAGTTATTGCTCTTTTAAAACAGTTAAAGCACATGTAAGTGGCGCCCCCCTACAGATGGGACTCATATTGACATCAAAATCAAATTTCATGTCAAAAAAATTCCCAGACACCAATTTTCCGCCACAAATATTGACATTATTTGAGAAAAACTATTTGAAAAAAATCAAAATAAAAATGAAACTTCTACACCCTGTGTCTCTCCGAAGCGAAGCATTTTAGGACATACATTTATCAGAACCTTTTTTATATTTTATCTGCAGAATATGCTGCCAAAAGTTTCCGGAATACAAAAAAAATACAAAAAAAAAAAATATGTATGTATATTTTTTATGTAAAAGTTTTTTTTTTTTTTTTATTTAAATATATTTTGAAATTGTAGTTTTAAAACGCAAATACTCATAAACAAGCGAAAATGGCCAGCTGGTGCTGAAGAAGCTGTGGTAATACAGAGTTATTCTTTTACAAAATGCAGTTACAAGTCCAAATAATTATTATTCTATCACGAGGTACGCACTTATAAATTTATATTACATAATCAACTTGTAGGTATATTTTCTTTATTAATTATATACATTGACATAATGAACCATTACCAAAATCACGAGATTAACCTTTTGCAAAGAAATACGCCTCTGTATAAAGCTTCTTTTATTTAGTGTTAACGATTCAAATTAATAATTTAAACAATTTTTTTATTTATTTGGTTTATTAAGTATAAGAAATACAATACAGTTCAGACAGGAAATTCATAGTATTATAAATTGTGATTCTCAGTAAACTACATACATATAAATAAGTATTTAGTAATATGATAACTTATATTTCCTGTAAGAATTTTGTTAACAACTGTAAAATACATTTAAAATTAACAGTAACTCGCAAAATTAAGTCACACCAGACGTAATAAACGCCCCAAAGGAATTTTTATTGTTTGTAAATCACAACAGCATTGATATTTTTGGATTATATGGCGCACTGAGTGCCAGCTTTTTTAACAATATTAAAATTCTCAGTGTTTAGCTTTTCAATATGATTTTGGATATGAAAACTTTGGCACAGACTCCAAATATATAGGAGTTGTATATGGTTCTAAAACCATAGGTATAATAGATGATTACATAAAGATGTATTTACAAAATAAGAATTAACCTCATCAACAAGGATTTCCAGAAGTTTATTAGCAAATACAAAATCAAATTTTTCCCGCTTCAAGTTTCAAATATGTTTGATAGCAAATAAATTAATAAGATCTGAATAAATGATTTATTATCACTCCAAAAATAAAGTGTATTGCTGGTTTTACTGATGTACTTCTATTTTGGTATTCTCAGTAAAATATATCTACTGAATTCACCTTGAAAACTGATATATAAAACAAAGTACAGACAACGGTACAGACAATAAAATCTATTGTTATGGTCGAATATATCCAACAATATTGTTGAAATCTCGCTGTTTTGTATCCTCGAATAGATGCAGTGCAATAGATTATGTAATGATTACATGCACTTATACAAATAGCCTTTATAGTTTTCTTTGTGTTAAAACAACTTATAGATTCTAGAATCAAAAAATATAGTGAGTGTTTTATTTAAGGAATATGGTTTTAGAAAGAAAGAACATGCACCTGGAAATGCCCACAACTTGAAACATTCATACTTGGATCTAGAAGACTAGATTCTAAAAAACTTTTAATAAGCTAGTTGCGTAAAAACCCTTTTGTAATAGACGTAGATGCAGATTGTAATGGAGGGGGAAATCCCATCTCCGAGATCAGTTGTACCAAAATTTATGACACGAATTGTTGTGGTCTCGGCGCAGTCAGTGATAAAGTGTTCTGGTGTTTCCCCATTTTCCCACAGAATCTGCATTCGCCGTTGTTTCTTAGATTCAATCTACTGACGTGTTCATTGGGATTCCGATTTTTCTTACTTAAATCAAGAAAATCTTTGATTTTTCTCGGTCGTTAGTTCTGAGAGATTTCTTCGAGTACCTATCTTTTTTCATAACAAAGGGCCGTCCTCTGCCGTAAACACTGCGACCTTTGAGGCCTATTGTGTTTGTCCCCTTTCTATATCTGCACCCATTCTCCTATCCCTGTGCCCTGCACTAACTTATGCAGGTCCCTGATAGGATGGGAGCATAGTTCCTCCGGTTCTAGCCTAGCTTTCCTAAATAACAAGTGTCGCTTGCGATCCAGAGCCTCGCAATGACATATTATGTGTTCCGCTGTTTCAGGATCTTTATCGCAGAATCTGCAATCGAGTGTCTTAGACTGTTGAATGATTCCCATTCCAGGTTATGGATAGAATCGTCCAGGTTCTTGAGTTCCGCTTTAAATTGGTTTCCACTGGAGAAGAAGATCGGTTCTGGTCCAGTTGGTGATGCTTTTTCATTACCTTCTATACCTTGGTGGCCTGACATCCAGAGTATTTTCCACATTTCTTTGCCTAATTTGTTCAGCTTCTTTAAGTATTCTTTGACCGACCAACGTTGAATTGATAATCCCTTGCATAATAAGAGTAACAAACAAAAATCAGCAAGTATCAAAATATACTAATTAAATGGCAGTAATCTTCACTAATAACAAAACGTGTTTTTAAGAGATGCCGACAATACTTGTATTGCATTATCCGTATAAATTTCATCATAGATAATATAACTTATGCATACTAATATAATTAAATATAGACAATATAGTATATAATGTCATAATGGAACATAGATGTGTAAATATGCGTAACCTAATAATTAGAAATTACATACAGTTATTAAACTTCGTGTTTAATGGCTTTAAATAATATAGTAAATTAAATGAACAATATTTGTAAGCACACACACACACATTACAGGTATGTAGGTACTTCCATATTTTTCTTAAACAGATATTTCCAGATTTTTTTAACGGTGAATTAATATAATATACAGAGCATACAGGTAAAGAACTATAAATATTTAAAATAGTATACTTACAGTCTATCAAGAAATGGCAGATTTGAAAATGTGGCAGCTTTAAATTCATGGAGATCATTGGCTTGCAGATATCTAGAAAAAAATTGAATTTATTAGAATACATCAAAGCTACATACATATACAGAGTGTCGACTTGTGCAAGTTTCACATTCCCATTGTTATCTACTTTTCTTTCTTTACAAGTTGATGTAATTAGAATTTCAATATTTTTTTCGTTTTCGAGAGATCATTCACTTTATTTTTAGCTGACCATACCAACAGATATGGTAGGCTATTAAGATCGGCAAAAAAAAGTTTTTTCAATTTCACTCAAAATGAGTTATTTAGGACATAAATGACCTAAATACAAAATATTTTCAGGATGTCTGTCTGTCTGTCCATCTGTCTGTAAGACGATAACTCAAAAATTGCTAAACCGATTTTAACCAAATTTGGCACAAAAATACAGTGGCACCCGAGAATCCGGCCATTAGTTTTTGGTGGGGGTGGGGGGTTGGTAAGGGGGTATGGGAGGGGGTTAAAAATTTTAAAAAATCGTAACTCCAAAATTACAGTAGCTAGCGAAACGCGGTTCTCAATTTAAGATTAGGAATAATATTTGCAACAAAATTTGTAATAACATCAAAATCAGTCAAAGTGGCAGTTTTTGAGATAAAAAAAAATTGGAGAAATACCTTTACTTTGAAACTAAAAGAATTGCCTACCAACTTTTTGAAAGCATATAACTTCCCAAATACCATGATAGTTTCAGCCAAAAAATAGATAAAAATTCTTTATTATATCTTTAAGTGTGGAACTTGAATGTCTTGGAGAGAGATGGATGTACGAATTACTTTATCTCATTTGATAGATCATACACGTTATGTCTAAGCAGAGGCCAAGACATCTGCAGAATTGCCGTCAGTTCTCCAGAGTCTAGACGGTCTTCCGTTTGAACTGACAGACAAAACTGACAGTTAAAATGTTATGTGTAGACTGGGCTTTAGTAACGATATTTTTTATAAGATTTAACTATATCAGTTTCGTTGTTTGACGCAAATAAATTGCACTTGAATAGGAAACGGGTCTTGAACAGTAGTTCTCTATCAAAGCGAAGTATTAAAAACCTATGCTATCGACATAGGTAAACAAATCTTCAATCGCCCGTCTGCCTGCAATGCAGACACCGGATTATTTTCATTAGGGCATCTGTTGAGGTTCAACGCCGCGTCGGCAAGAGTTTTAAAAAGTACCCCTTTAAAAAACAGACGGATATACAGGGTGTGCCACTGTTTCAAAAAAGTTACATACATATTTCAGATTTCAGTCCTAGTTAATGTTTTAATTCCAATGTTTTTAGCCGATCATACCAACAGGTACATCTGTAACACGATAACTCAAGAAACCGCTAAACCGAAAAAGGTTTTTTAATTTCACTCAAAATTTAGGTCATTTATGACCCAAATACAAAATATTTTCATGGTGTCTGTCCGTCTGTCTGTAACACGCTAATTCAAAAACAGCTAAACCGATTTTAACCAAATTTGGCACAAAAATACTGTGGTACAGAGGAATTAGGCTATTAGTTTTTGGTGGTGGTGGGGGTTGGTAAGGGGGTATGGGAGGGGGTTAGAAATTTAAAAAATCGTAACTCCAAAATTACAGTAGCTTGCGAAACGCGGTTTTCAATTTAAGATTAGGAATAATATTTGCAACAAAATTTGTAATAACATCAAAATCAGCCAAAGTCGCAGTTTTTGAGATATTCCGTGTTTCCGTAGTCCGTTTTTGAGAAAATCCGTGTGGAGAACTCCATACTACCATCGGGCGCGACCCCAGGTGGTGGATAGGGGAAATAACCGCGGACCAAAATTGGAAAAATTCCTTTACTTTGAAACTAAAAGAACTGCCTACCAACTTTTATTAACATATTTTAGTATGGGAGGCTATACGTGCCTCCCGGCGTCAATTTTTTTAATAAAATATGAGGATAATGCGGTAGCATATAATTTAAAAATACATTTTTTTTAATTTGCAGATCGATTCAAGTATGTTATAAAAATGTTCTCTTGAGAATTAAACATAATTAGAAAAAAAAACATACACATCATTTTTTCGAACAAAAATTTATGATTAATTTATAGAAATAAATAGTTCCCAATAAATTTATCATTTCAGTCAAATAACTATCTACTCGACATGATTATTTTTTGTTATAATAACATATGTATTGACTACTTCCATTCAATATCTTGAGAACGGTTGCTCGTAGCGATTTTTACCAAGAGACATTTTTTACGTTGAAAATCACGGAAATGTATATTTTTTTCACCCAGTAATTTTATACGGGTATGGACAGAAGTTATTACTTTTCAAAACAGTTAAAACTCAAATAGGTGGCGCCCTTTATAAAGATGGGTTATATTGACATCAAAATCAAATTTCTCATGTCAAAATCTCCCAGACACCAATTTTTATCTAAATATTTATTTTTATTTGAAAAAAATCGAAATAAAAATGAAAGTTCTACACTCTGTATCTCCAAAACTAAGCATTTTAGGAGATACATTTATACGCACTTTTTTACTTATTTTTGTCTGCAGAATATGCTGCCGATGTTTCCGTAATACAGTTCGGACCACCCTGTATGGCTACAGCATTCCGATTAAAATACCACAAATTTATTGTAAATAAATATTTGAATCACTTTGTATACAAAAAAATCTTTTTAAATGTGGGATACCCTACTAGCACATTTTTCCAAAAAAATATAGAAAAATATTCAAATATGAAATCTGATTTAAATTTAGTTTCTTTATTTTTATGGTTAACATTAGGACATTTTTGTAAGTTAATGTTAATTTTTGTTAAGTAAAATTAAAGGGATTAAGAGATTATTCCGATTGACTAATTAAAATAGTACCAATAGGATACTTACAGTCTTTCAAGACGAGTGAGATGTGTAAAAGTACCACTTTCAATGTCCCTGATGCGGTTCTTGTACAAATAGAGGTTCTGCAAGTTGTATAGCCCACGAAACGTTTCGTTTCTGAGCCGTTTGAGATCATTGTTGTTCAGCAACAAAGTAACCAGGCGATGGTTGTCTATAAAAGTTCCTTTGGTGATATCCCTAATGCGGTTGAAACGGAGATCTCTGAAAATTAAAGGAAACCAAGAGTTAGAAGAGGATTAAATTATTCAAAAACTTGTTTGGATTATAATGTAAACAATTGTTGATAAACAATATTTTTTTACGTAAGTGATATGAGGAAGATCTGTTCATTACAGTCACGATATACCTATTTCTTAAGAGTCTATTACGCTGTATTTTCGGGTCTCAAGGTTCGGGTAAAGTGGGTGTGTGGCCGAAGGAAATATATATATATATATATATATATATATATATATATATATATATATATATATATATATATATATATATATATATATATATATATATATATTATATTTCAAAAATCTGCCTAAGGCTTAGCCCGATCCTGTCGTGTCCACACCCAAAATTCCAAACACACGTGCTTTGATTAAGGCTTGATTAAGGTTTGCAGAGCTTCAGCATTTGCCATAAAATCGCGAGCAATTTGTTACAAAACCATATAAATTATATATCACTGTAATCACAAAACTTCAATCTATTTCCGTATTGTAACGGAATTTTAAATTATGTCTTTGTTTTCGAGAAAATTTAGTCCAAACATGAGGAATATTTTGTTGATGTTTGACCATCAAAATCTTAAAAATAAAGAAGTTGTTTAAAAATGTGCTACAATACGGATATAGTATAATCCTTTATTTTCAATTTCCTTCTTATATATATAAACGGGATTTGGTTTAAGTATTTAATACTCATTTCCAACTACAGCCTATTGCTGCCTTCCCGTTACCCTACGCCACACATCTCGATTTAGAGCGTCATCAGCTTCTAGGTTACGAGCTTCCATTGCTTCCGTAACCGTTCCGTTCCAGGATTTTCTAGGTCTACCTCTCTTTCTTCTGCCCTGGGGAGCCCATTGAAAAACTCTTTTTGGCCACCTGTTCTCCGGCATACGCAGAACATGTCCAAACCATTTTAAGCTGGATTTTCCGATTCGATCTAGCACTGTCTCCTCCGATGCATTCATGATACGCCGGACCTCGGTGTTTGTCTTTTTTTTCATCCTAGATATACCTGCACTTCATCTAAGGTAGTCCATTTCAACAACTTGGATTTTGCCCTTCGCGTCTGCACTCAGAGTCCATAGCTCTGAACCATAGCAAAGAACTGACTCCACCAATGTTCTTCCAAGTCTCTTTTTAGTTGTTGCAGATAAGTTTCGGTCCCACCAGAGGCTGTTAAGACATCCCATAACTTGTTTGCTCTTCTGAATTCGGGTTTGTATTTCTTCTTTGCCCAAACCCTCGTTGTTGATAGTAGCACCCAGGTAATTTCCTTCTTCATTTGTGTAAAAATACCTAGCCAGTTTGACATAAAACGTTAAATGCCGAACGCTTATTTTGCTACTTTTTCGGACTAGTGAAATGGACTCTTAAAGTTGCATATTGAAGCAAATTCTCTGTTTAACGAGAGGATCCATGAAACTGACAGTTGTGTCTGTCATTTTAATTCACAGATGATTATTATGTTCATCATATAAAGGCAAAATTTTGAATTGGAAAAATGATGACCCTGTATATACAGGGTATCCCAGGCTGAGCGTGCATAAGAAGTTTCTAGAGAATCACAATATCTAGATCGGAGATTTTTTGCAAATCATTGTTTTAAAACGAGATCTATCGATTAAAAATATTTTCAATATGGCAGCACTTCCGGAAATACCGGAAGTTGACAGCAATTTTCTTATTTTAAATAGGCGTCCCCATTTTTTATTACATACTTAAATTCTCTGTAAAATTCTATGAATATTGATTTTGTTGTTCAAATGCCATATAATAATGGCGGTAGCTGTCATGAAATTGACATTTTTTTCAAACCCACTTTTTTATTTGACTAATGAAAAGGTTTTTCAATTCGTTACTTTTTAACTATACATGTTCCTATACCTAAAATAAATAATTTTTAAGTTATTTAACATTTAGTTTGAAAACGTATATTTTTCTTTATTTTATCTAGCTTCCTTTGACATTAAGTGTCAAACACTCAGAGTATTTATTTCCATCTGTCAGAAAACGAATTATTTGAATTTCGTAGATTATAAATACTGCCTGCCTAAGAGTTTAAAAAGTTTATTTTAAAAATATGTCTCGTATTTTGGCTCTTTAGTGATATCTAATAGTTTATATTATTAATAATATACCGTATAATCGAAAAAAAAAACAGCGCAAAGTTGGCTTGGAAATGATGATTCAGTTCTATTGTTTTATTTTCTTTATGGCACAGTGGCTGTGGTAATCACTAAATTTGACGTTTAGACTATACACATATTTTTGATAGGCAGTTTTTTCGTACAAAAATTTTAAATGTTTTTTTTTCAAATGTTGGGTATAGAGTGTTTGATATCAAAATTCATAAAATTTTACATAGAATTTAAGTATGTATTAAAAAATGGGGACACCCATTTAAAATAAGAAAGTTGCTGTCAACTTCAGGTATTTCCGGAAGTGCCGCCTTATTGAAAATATTTTTAACCGATAGATCTCGTTGTAAAACAGTGATGTGCAAAAAATCTCCAATCTAAATATTGTATTTCTCTAGAAACTTCTAATGCACACTCAGCCTGGGACACCCTGTATATAATCTGATAGTAACAACAGTGATATAAATAAGTTGAGAATATGCTAATATGTATTTTGAAATTCATAGTGTATAAAGAAATAAGATATGCGGGTAAAACTAGACAAGTACTCACGACTGAAATAATGTTATCCACTAAGAGAGCAATAAACAATATGGTTTATACAATATTAATTTTCCATCAAGGATAATAAGATTTTAATAACAATTTTCATGCCGGCATCAATAGATTTGAAGTCATAAAATATTGAAATTAATATCGTGAGTTTAAAATTAACGGTAAAGTAGAAAATCGGAGATCATAGGCGTCCAAAAAGATTTTAAAATAACAAAAACTTATCAACAGACTATACATGGTGGGCCACTGAAAACTTACAATGGCTATAATTTTCAAACCAAAAAAGATATCAAAAAAATACAAAATACCGTTTCTATAATATCGAGGGGGAATACATATGACGTATTTTTTGAACCACCCCGACCTACCCCTTAGGCGGCACCCCTACTCACTTGAAAATCTTAAATGGCAACACCCCACTTGTGGCGCTTTTTTGGAAAGCCCATGAAAAATGCTAAACGATGATCATAAAGTATTACAGTTGAGGGTTGGAACCTTTGGTGTTACACAGCAAAATAAAAACACTAAATCACCACAATACACCAAAACACTTTTTGTATGTATCAGTGTAAAAGTAAAAGTGTTTTGGTGTATTGTGGTGATTTAGTGTTTTTATTTTGATCATAAAGTATTTAAGGTGAAATTGAAAAACTACCCCTTACACGAAAAATTAGGTGGACATTAATGAAAAAGGTGATTTTTTCAGCATAAGTTACAAATTGGGACCCAGCTAAATGAGGCAGATGAGGTATTTTTCAAACCACCCCAACCCACTTCTAGGTGCCACCCCCTCACTTCTAATCTCAAGATAGCGATACCCCACTTGTGACACTTCTTTGGAAAGCTAATTGAAATTGCTAAACGATGGTCATACAGATTTTAACTTAATTACTGGTAACTAGTGATAAGAAATGTAGGTGTGACAATTTGAAAGAAATTTAAAATGATAACGAAATTTAAAATAATTAACAATTGCTCAAAATGACAGCCGTTTTGTTCCATACAAAAATACAAACGATTTTCAAATTCTTTTCTCACTGTTTGGAAAGTCTCTCTTGGAATATTTCGACATGATTTAGTTCCCCTCTGCCGCAATTCTTGCAACAAACCTGGTTTTGTCTTGTAGACTATGAATTTAGTGTAAACCCACAAGAAAAAGTTTAAAGGAGTGAGATCAGGTGACCTTGGCGGTCACTCGATTGGACCCCTTCTGCCAATCCATTGCTTTGGATAATATTTGTCCAACCACCGCCTTGTGACAATAGAATAATGCGGAGGAGCTCCATCTTGCTGAAAGTGTATGAGGTCTTCATTAAGAGTTATAATAAATTTCTTTGTACCAGTTTTTTTTCTCGCAATGGTACATGGATACAAAAATAATTTAATCTATTGATTTTGACACGTTTTGACATTTATTTTTATTTTTAGCTACATTTTTTTCGTTCTTTTTTATGACAGTCGTTCAGCATTTTTTATACGCTTTCCAAAGAGGTGTCACAAGTGGGGTATCGCTATCTTGAGGTTAGAAGTGAGGGTGTGGCACCTAGGGGTGGGTCGGGGTGGGTTAAAAAATACCTCATTTAGCTGGGTCCCAATTTGTAACTTATGCTGCAGAAATCACTTTTTTCATTAATCTCCACCAAATTTTGCGTGTAAGGGGTAGTTTTTCAATTTCACCCTAAAAACTTTATGATCATCGTTTAGCATTTTTCATGGGCTTTTCAAAAAGGCGCCACAAGTGGGGTGTTGCCGTTTAAGATTTTCAAGTGAGTAGGGGTGCCGCCTTAGGGGTAGGTCGGGGTTGTTCAAAAATACGTCATATGTATTCCCCCTCGATATTATAGAAACGGTATTTTTTATATTTTTGATATCTTTTTTGGTTTAAAAATTATAGCCATTGTAAGTTTTCAGTGGCCCACCCTGTTTTAGAAATCACGGTATATATTTTCTTTATTTTTTGTTTCGTTTCTTTGACCTGTATACTATATATTTTTTGTTTTCACTCTTGGCTTTAGGTCATTGGGGTTGCAAAGATGTTTCTAGATTTTGTTCATTATGTTTTTATTTTATGACGACGTTTCGACAGTATATGTCTTTTCGACAGTATATGTCGTTTCGACAGTATATGACGACGTTTCGACAGTATACGTACGTGCTCTATAGTAAAGTGTAATGTCCAAAAACAATTAAAAACAATAGTTAATATGTGTTATTGTGTTGTCCAGTTTAACAAATTTTAACTCTGTAAGAATCTACGTTCAAGAGGCTTGAAAAAGTCATATACTGT